TTCATGGTTCGGCGTTTGGTTAAAAGCACATTCCACACTTCACAATACCGTTCACAAACCGATATATGTCACTAGTTTACATAAATGCCCAAATAAGCTGCTTTATTTAATGTCATCAATGCCAGTTGAAATGTCATGAAAACTCATTTTTGTCTTACTTAACCCCCTTTTAAGTCCACGTGCCACTTCTTTTTCACAAATATCTTCCAAACTTCCGTCTTCACAGGGAGAAAAATACGAAGTTCCGGACTTAAACAGAATATCAGATGAAACGAATATACACAATTCATCTTAATCATTTATAAAACCACAAATCCAATAGATTTTGATGCGATGAAGATCTAGCGTCATTTATTTGCATTAGTGGCAGTGACGCTAACAGTATTTCTGGAAGAGTCGAGTGTAGCAAAAAATTATATTTGCATACAGTAATTAACACAAAACAGTTAAATAAACAACAAATTGTTATACTATTTCATGTAAACCAGTCTGACGTAGAATGGGTTAGAGCAGTGGTATCCAACCTGGGTACGCAAAAACATCTTAAGGGGTACGTGAAATTTAATATATATATTATTTTATGATAAACATAATCAGTAATGTAATTTATTTAATTTATTTTAGATGTAGATTATATACTATGTATAACTTGAATTATACTCAAACAACTTTGGGGGTACAAAGTTGAAGAGAAACTATATCTGGGGGTACGCGAACAAAAAAGGTTGATTACCACTGGGTTTCGATTCCCGGCGGTGCCTGAATTTATAACTTGTGTTGGACAATATAATTGTATCCTGTTTCAGAGGCCGCTCGATATGGGCGCTGACATCTCAGTTTATTCGGCTACGAAGTACCTGAACGGGCACACAGATGTCTGCATGGGCGCAATGTGTTTCAACGATGATAACCTTTTACCTCGTCTGCGGTATCTACAGAATAGTGAGTAGAGGCCGTCCACTTCTCTGTCTGTTGGTTCTACGCAACGTAATACAGGCTTACCTCGTTTAATTGCGCTTCGCAGATATTGCTTTTTTTTTTTTGCGTTCACGAGAAAAAGAGAGTTTTTTAATTCTTGAATATTACTTCGCATCAGTATCGTTTGTTGCTGTCCATGAACTAACATTGCGTATCCTGATTAGGAAATACCGAATAAGATAACAAAACACTACTACTACTACTACTACTACTACTACTACTACTATGGCGTAACAGCCCAAAATCGAGCCCTAGCCTCCTCTATCTTCTTCCTCCAATCCTCTCTATCCAACGCTATCCTTCTCCAAGCTGCTGTTCCAAGGAGATTTCTGGAGTCAGTCGTCACTGCATCCAGCCATTTACCTTTAGGTCTTCCCACTGGCCTTATACCATATATTGTTTCTTCCAATATTGCTACATAATGCAACTGCACACTTAATAGACTAGAGTATAGTGTAAACATAACTTTTATATGCACTGGGAAACCAAAAAAATTCGTGTGACTCGCTTTATTGCGGCGATCTAGAACCGAACCCGCAATATCTACGAGGTATGCCTGTACATCCAGTGCTTCCGACTGACTTACTCTCACCATCTGAAGACCACAAATAGAAAAAGCACTTTTCGGATTCAGTCTGACGTGTACGCGCATGGAGTTGTCGTATTTCCTACTCATGCAACTGTATTTTACAGTTTCGTGTATGATGTGGTATGAACTAGTCCATATTTATTTCCTTTTGTGCTATTAAAAATTTTCTCGCGTCACCTGCATCGACATTGGGTGTAAGTCCATTTTAACTCGGTCCACTTACGTCCGTTTCCGATTACAGGTTTTAAAGAATTTAATGTAATTAAGAACCGTATTACCAGAACGTTCCTGTAGTGACTGGGGAAAACCAATAAAACATTCGCGACAGCCGATTTTGGATCTAAATTAAAATCTGAGACATCTTGAATAGTATTCGTGAGTTTTCACTAGGAACCCATGAAAATGGGTGATGGTCGTCGTGTTGCAATTTTAGTTCAATCTCGGTGCCTCATGAGGACCTCCTTGTCCTTTTCTGGAGTCAAGAGTTTTTGTTGTTATACTGGCGGAGACCGTTGAGCTTAAGTGATTACTGTTTATCTATGAAGATACTTTGTTATTTATTACGTCCACTTGTATGATTTTTTTGTGTGCATTCTTATCTCCTCGTGAGCCCATAGTTCAGCTTTTGTTACTGGTCTTATCAACTCTCCACTGCCAGTGTCTTATTTGTCGATATAAATCCTTAAGCAACCCATACAAGAGACAGCTTATTCGGTGAACGGGACGGGAGGAGGACCCTCACAGCGGTCTTGTTCTTCGGTCAACAAGCGATGTGGACACCGTACTACAGCTTCAAAAGACACCTCAAGGCGTTTCCAGCATTGTTGTCTGTGTTGTGTTTCGTGAGGTTTGGTACGGCAGAAGAGAAATGGTTTGCAGAGTTTACGTAACACATCTGTTAAGACCTGGAGGTCTTCATGCGTCTTTACAAATTATATCTGACTTCCATTTTAAATTCCATAGGCCTTCAGCTTTAAAATTATCGTCTATTGCTGGTTTCAATTAATATTTCTGAGACATATTAATCGTTGCCAGATGACAGGACGGGGGATCGTTTTGTAACCATCACAGCCAGCTTCCAGGAAGACAGACTCCTGCCCCGAGGCTCTTAGTTCCGAAGAACGCAAAGCGTTGAGCTTCACTTCCATGCCCTCAATAAATATTCCTCATGCCACAGATGCTGGGATCGGCCCTTCGCCTTTCGACTGCTACCTGGTGTATCGCAGCCTCAAGACACTGCCAGTTCGCCTCAGGCACCACATGAAGAATGGTCTCAAGGTAGCGCAGTTCCTGGAGTCCCACCCCTTGGTCACCAAGGTGCTGTGTCCATGGCTACCGAGTCACCCTCAACACGAGCTTGCCAAGCGTCAGGCCTCAGGCTACACCAGCATGATTTCCTTCTATGTCAACGGCGACCTGCAGCAAACCAGCGCGTTGCTCAAGAAGTTTCGACTCATTAACATGGCCGGCAGTCTTGGCGGCGTCGAGAGCCTAGCGGAGATTCCGTAAGTCCACGTCCGATGTTATCCACCTCCATGAAACATCTGAAGAACGTGGTCTAGGTCTGAGTTACCGTTGGCGTTGGCACAATGTGTCTTTTAAAGTGTTAACAATCTTGTTTCTATGCATGATTTATATATTTTAGCTGAAGTTTTGTTTCAACTGAACATAGCATGTAACAAAGGCGAGCACAGGTTCATGGTAGTACAACCAATGGAATCTAAGGGCCGTTTCACCAGTCGCTGAACGACCAAACGAGGAGACCAGCAGGGCGACCAGCGCAGACAGAGGCCTCAGCCTCAGTACTTTGGAAGCAGTCAAGCAGTGTGGACGCTTCAGGAAGTCCGTCCCCGCCAAACAATTTCACAACCTCTTCCCACTGACTTTTTTTCAACTCCCTGTTTGCATAATCGGGACTTGCAAGGTCCGAAATGGAATGTGAACACGTGATTGCCATCTATGTATCTCGTGGTCGTTGGTCTCCCGTGCGTCGCTCACTTCTTGTTGGTCGACGGCGGCCATTGGTCGCGATCGCCCTCGTGTGTAAGCTCGTACTTAGCTTTTCTACCTTGCGGTCGTTCAGCGACTGGTCGCTGGCGACCGGTCGACAGTGTGAAACGAGCCGAGAAGTCCCACTGTCATGACCGACCCAAACGTAATGGCTGTTCGGTCTGGAGGATTTAATTTGTGGAATCGATGAGGGTGTTGAGAGGTTATGTATTCCTTCAGGTCGGTACTGAGCCACGCCTCCTTTCCGGTTGGGGACAGAGCACGGTTGGGAATCACAGATAATCTAGTGAGGTTATCTGTGGGGCTGGAGGATGTGGACGACATCATCGCGGACCTGGACCAAGCTTTACGCTCCACAGTGAGTGTGTTCTTTGTTGCATTTGGAATGAAATGGCAGTACATGGCACATAGTACCACGTCCAGAGGCGAAAGAATGAATTTGTTACTCTGGCTGATAAGGAAGTAGTTTGATATACTTCATCATTTCGTTTTTTATCATCGGCGGTTGAACTCTTATACAAAGTGCAAAATTAATTAAATATAAATAAAATTTCCGTGTAGAAAATATTTTTTTAAGGAAATTGCATATTGGTATTCGCTATCTTATATACACAACAGTCGTGTATTTGCAATTGCCTGGATGTTATTTCCGCCTGATTGTATTTACTGTGATAAGAAGCTGATAACAGCCCTACCTTTCTTTTCGCCCTAGCTGGTGGGTGCTACGTTAAATGTAGGTGGGGCAAAGGACCATCAATTTCCAGAACTACAACAAAACATTTCTCAAAAGAAGCAGAAAATTATTGTTACTAAAACTTAGTTTTTTCAAGTATCATAAGACGTACACACTCAATTCTGCTCAGATATCGTGAGTCTGCAGGCGTGCGGGCTCCGATTAATATCCTACTAGGAATCTGCAATGCGAGTGACTCGAAAGTATCATAAGACAAAGGATCGATAAGTCGATATTTGTCAAATGTTCAGAAAAGTATGTCCTATCCACCACAGGTCATAGAATGTTTCATTACCGCGGGCCACATTAACTTCATTAATTTAATTTCAAAGTAGACAGCTGCTATATTTATCCGTACAACTGAGTTTGCTGTAAAGACGTTGATTGTTAGCTTTCAGACAGTTTTTATTTCATTAATAATTTTTCTTTGAAACTTCAGTTATTAACGAAAAGTAATTGCGATATTTCTTTGTTACATGTCATACGGTTTAACAAAACAATGAATTACTTGTAGCTCAGATATTAGATGTGAGATGCGCTTGCGGGAGGGTAAGGACGCTGTCTGCGATAGTTGGGCATGCAGGGGAACATTTCTCTCTGTACTACTGAACACAAAAACATAAGCGCAGATTGAATTACCTCCAGTAGCTAATGAAGATTTTACAAAGCTTCTATTCCACTTAATTCCTCATCATCTTCTTCTGCACCTTCTTGCTTGCCCCCCTCTTCGTCACTACTGCTTCAACTGCCGGTATCGGTGCCGTTTTGTAAGTTAACTATAATTTGTTCCGAAACGTCGTCGTAATTAATTCTGTTCGCACTGAAGGGAATTGTTGCACCGCGAACTCTATTCTTCCTTTGTGATGCTACTAAACTTTTCCTCAGCTAGTTTCATAGCATCATCTAGACGGAAACCGACATTCTTTCTGGCGACATATTCTTT